AAAAAAAAAAAAAAAAGAAAGAAAATTTTAATAGATCGGTATTTTCAAAAAATTTCATTCACCTCGGACTCGCCTTCGCAAAGCGTGGTCCTATTTGTGCGCTATCCGGGTTGATCTATCTTGAGTTTGAATAGCAAGAAGCATCTGTTTATTACAGTATCTGCGGGTACTGTCCTCTGACCAAAACATCTGAGACTGGAGCCTTCTTTTATTTGGTACGGAGAGGTTAGCAAATGTTACGCAGGTATGTTCAAGACATTAACATCGGATAGGGACACTCTCCTTGATGCCACCTGAAGGATGGAAGGTAGCTAAGTGGTCGAGCTGTGTAACTCAGAGCTAAGGTCCATCCATGCATTGTACCGACGCCCCTTCCCCCTGCCCTGCACTCGGAGAGATGAAACACCACCCTGGACAGTGAACTCCCTAATCTCTTCACTTACATATGCCAGCAGGGAGGTGCTCGCCGTCCCAGATGCTTACCATCATGTCCCAAATGCCGTGCCTGACGTCTCCTAAGGAAGAGCCCGGTAAATACTGAGTGAGTGAGTGTGTGAACTAGTGAGTGAAGATCTGAACAGCAGTGTCGCTTTACCCCAACCCATGCCGAGTAGGTGCTCAAGAACAACATCGAGTGCTTGTTAAGTGGGTATTAAACAAGCTGTCTTTACTCACAACAACTTGCATAGATTTGGTAAGTGTCGCCGTGGATGAGGATAGTGAGCCTCTGAGTGATTAAGATACACACTGTTGTGGAGTGGTGATTGGACGGCCCTAACTGCAGCGCACACTCGTGACAAAGGGGTGAACCTGAGCGGTGGTAGAGCTCGGGTTCCACTGTGGCTATTTTTGCCTGGAGGCTACTGAGCCGTAAACCATTATTAGGCAGCATGGAGAGACCACGGCTATAATAATAGAATGTCCTTCTACATAGTAATTCAAAGGTGACAAGAAAAAAATAGCATTCACTTTTAAGGTAGGCATGTTTTGGGAAATTGGATGTGCCTGTCTATTATTAGTCCTTTAAGAGGCCCCCACCACCTCCCAGGGGGGCCTGGGAAACATCCCAAGAGACATTGCTACTGAAGTAGATTTCCTTTGAACCCATGAGCTGGAAGCTCACAGCCCACATCCTGCCTTTTGAAGGAAGTGCCCTGGATGACTTTGGTCTGTAACAACAAACAGTACCTCATGGCGACTGGGCCTTGGTTTGCAAGGGCTGAGAAATGCAAAAGCCATGCAGTTCCTGGAGGGTCTGTGCCTCTGAGGGTCCAGATCCGCGTTTCCATTCCACCCACGTTCCCGTACATTAGGGCTCTCACAGTGTGACTCTTGGGTGCCATTTTTAAGCCAGTCCAATGATTTCTTTTTTTTTAGCTCACCCGTGGTAGAACTTTACCGAAATATCCAAATTCTAACTTCTGTAGGAAAAGAAGAGGTATGACCCAGTGAAATTTGCATTCCTGAACTTACTCACTCACTTGTTCATTCATTCATTGAACAAGTGTTTCTTGCACACCTGCTGTATACCGGCCCATTAAATAAACCAGACAGAAGTCCCTGTCCACATGGAGCTTATGGGAGAGGGTGATGAACAATAACGTAGTCAACTAGTAAACCTATACTAGGTGGTGTGGAGATTCATTCTGTAAATAATATTAAAGTTCGGCAAAGTACAAAGAATGACAGTGCCTGAGAAAAACTTGTATCATCAGGAACTTCTGAGCAAAGGCCTGAATAAAGTGAAACGGAGGAGCCCCACGGTAGAATGTCCCCGAGAGAGGAAACAGCAAATTCGAAAAACATGCTTCTTCAAGTTGGAGAAGCAGCAGGGAGGCTTCTGGTCAGAGTAGACATCATATGAGGTAAAGCAGGTAACACAGTCCACATGCGTAAATGAGGCAAGGAATTTGAATTTCACTCCAGTGAACAGAAGCTATTGGAGGTTGGGAGCAGAGCAGTGTCCTGATGCAATCTGTGTGTGTGCCTGTATTTTAGAATTACCTTGTTCACTACATGGAAAGTAGAGGATAAAAGCAAAAAAGGAGAGAAGCAGAGAGCAGCCACTGGAGCCATCTCTCACTCGAGGCCCTAAATGAAGACCGTGTAACATGGTGCCACATGAAACTTAGGGGCAGCAGTTTCCTGTATGTTGACGTGGGCCCACCAGCTTGCCAGAGTCCCCACCTGGCCCATTCTGTTCACAAAGGGATGAACACGGGACACTTGGAAAACGTCACACACAGTGAGGAAGCAGTCTGCTGTACCTGGGAATGTAGTCCAAGGTCTTCTCAGTCCAGACTTCATACTTGATGTATATATTTATTTCCCATGGAGGCCAAAAAAAAAAAAATCCCACAAAATTATTACAGAGCTGAGGAACTAAAAATAATAGAAATGTACTGCCCATAGTTCTGGAAGGTAGAATCTCTAAACTTCGAGGTGTCATTAGGGCCATTCTTTCTCTAGAGTCTTTAGAAGAGACTCCTTCCTGCCTCTTCCACCTTTTAGTGGCTGACAGCATTCCTTGGCTTGTGGCTGCATCTCTCTGATCTTCCTTTGCATCACCTTCACTGTGTGAGTCTCCTCCTCTTCTGTCTAGACCTCCCTGTGTTTTGTAAGGACATTGGTCATTGGATGTAGGGCTCAGCCAGATAATCTGGGATGATCTCATCATCTCAAGATCCTTAATTTGGTTAAGTCAGCAAAAACCTTTTTTTTTTTTTTTTTTTTTTTCAGATAAGATAACACAGGTCCTGGGAGTTATGACATGGGCATGTGGGAAGAGGGCATATTTCAAACAACTGTAGCGCATAACCCTGGGCAAGTTGCTTCCTCTCTTTTTATCTAATTTTCCTCCTCTGTAAAATAGTGCAGGGATGGAGTAGTCCACCTTCCAACCCTGTCATTCGCAGCCTGCACTCTCCAGTGTAGCAGTTATTAGCCACAAGGAGCTAATGAACCCTTGAAATCTATTGATTATACTTAAAACATATTTATAAGGCTTTATTATTACATAAGTCATCACCCTGTAATTTAAGCATGTAGTGTGAAAAAGAATGTAAAAACATCACACAGATAATTTTTATCTTCACTGCATGTTGAAATGTAATATTTGCAATGTAATGAGATAAATCAAATTTCTCTGTAAAATTAATTTCACCTGTGTGGTTTTACTAATTTAGTTTTCTGTAAAGTGACTACTAGAAAATGTAAAATTATATATGTGGCTCATGTTACCTGTTTTTGTACGTTTGTGTTCCAAAGGA